CGGGAAAATTATTACCTTTGCCCCCCCCCCCCACCGACCCAAGACCCCTGTTGCGCGCCTCCTTATACAAGTGAGCCCCCTCACTTTCAAAAACGTTCCGCCGGCCCTGTAATAGGTTTTCTAGACCTTCTCTCCTCTCTCCCAATCCTAAGCCCATCACGGAACGCATAACCCTAGTCATTGATTACAGTCCCAGCAATTCTCAAATAGATAACAGACTTAAACAAGGATTTTAATCCCTCAAACTCGATCCCTCCATAAACACTATTTTCAGTGATCCCCCAGTAGTAGCCAACCGCCAACCGCCCAATCTCAAAGGCTATTCTATCTTCATCTCGCTTACTTTCATCCTGTAGGTCCGCTGGTAATACCAAATGCCACAAGCCTAGATGTCAAATTTGTAAATTTATCACCACCGATTGCTCTATTTCTATGCCTCATTCTGGCTGCACTATTCGTCTCCCCTCTCTTAACTGTGATGCTCACAATGTTGTATATATGTTATTCTGCAACATTTGTGATGATGGTCATTATTTTGGCGAAACTGGTGTTGATTTTAGGTCCAGATTTAATAACCACAAATCTTCTATCCGACACAATCGCACTGGTTTTCCTGTAGCAGAACACTCTCCCAACAATTCTCTCAGCAACCTACGGTGTGCCCTCATATCCACTAATTTCTCCTCCCTCCACCAACGTAGACTCATGGAACTCAAACTCATTATCAGACACAAAACACACGCATCTGGTTTAAACAAGGATCTTGGTATCCTTAGTGGGTTCTCGTTTTTTAAGGCATAACTTTTCATTTCGATCCGTTTCTGTAGTTACCCGATTTTATTTTATTTTATTTTATATATTTTATTTTTTGGAATTTACTCATTATTATTATTAGTGTTATTATTATCATTATTATTATATTATTATCATTATCATTATTATTATTATTATTATTATTATTATTATTATTATATTATTATTATTATTAGTATTATTACTATTATTTTTATCATTACTATTATTATTATTATTATTATTATTATATTACTGCATTGCTTCATTCATTATTCTAGGTATATTCACAGGCCTAGCATACGTTATATTATTAGGTCTTCCTACAGTTGGCTCAGTTACAATCTCTATATGATCCATTTCTCTGAAATAACCATCTTATCTGTGTTGTGCTGGCCAATACAATGGATAGTTTATTTGACTAGTCTCTGCAATTAACACCCTTGGTTCTTTATTATTGTAGATATTCAATTCAATTCAATTCAATTAACATTTATTCAATTAATTAATAAATACATCAAGTGATAAATAAAGTGGACAACATTAAAATTAATTAATTAGGATCAAAAATAGAAGCAAAGCTTGTCTCAATTTGATCCCGACAAAACAAAAAGTAAAAACTAATAATAAACGCATATCAGGTAGACCTACATTTTATATACAAATATATATATATATATATATAAATATATATATACACATATATATACATATATACATACACACACGTACATACATACATACATACACATACACACACTAACATACACACACATACACCCCATACATTCATGTAAATACACACACACGAACACACACACATATACACACACACATACATACATGCACACACACACACAAATCAACATATACACACACATGCACACATATACATATACATACAATATAAATCATCAAAGGTACATATGCAGTGTTTAGATAAGGACATGATGGAACACCGTAGGCTACCCTGTAGCTATTTAACAAATGTACATGTATATATGTTT